AATGCAACGTCCATAATGTCCGCTTTTATCAGTAAGTTGTATGCATCGGATAGAAAAATTTTTCTCTACGAGAGATAAACTATTTATAGTTTAATTATAATCTCGAACGCGTTATCCGATGTTCGTACTTTGCGTTGTAACAAAAATGTTAGAGTATTAAAAATAGAACGGCCATCATAATTTATATGGAATGTTGTATAAAATAACGTGTTTTTTTTTATTACAAATTAATGAATATACGATCGATATCTGCATAATGAAAATTTTATTGACATTTGCTTACTGTTTTTCGACAGCAAATATGTCACACTGAAAAAAAATTTATGAAATCTTAATATTTTTGTCAATAATATTAAGTAAATGTTTATTTATGGTAAGTAAATACTTATTCAATGATAGTTAAATCAAATTAATGCTTCTTGTATCAAATTTGTGTACATTTTTAGTAAATATTTACTTATAAATATTTAAACAAACATTTATTAAAATTTAATATTCTTCAGTGTAATAATTAAGTCATGAGATTGAAATTCTATCAAAATAATTACAATATTATTCACAGATTAAAATTTAAACGTTATTTTTTAACCTTTAATTAATTCATAGAACCTTGTTAATAACGATTCGAAATAGTTATTACTTTTTAAAAATAGTTATTACTTTTTTGCTTTTTGCATTTGTGATTCTCGGAGAGCAATTTTTTCAACATTTTTTTGTCTAATAAACAATAACGCACATAAATGTGTTTTGTTTCAATTAGAAATCGTTGAGAAACGCCCATCAAAATCGCGTTGCGTCATCGTTCTCGTATTCATTACTTTCGCATTTTGCTCACGTTCTAAAACTGGTACACGAGTGACCCGCGGCGCGAACATTAACCCAAGTTATTAGTCCACCAAGCTGCACGTAAAAAGGTCACGATTGAACATTGTTCGCGCGTAATTTCAGCTTGCCGCATTGCGAAGTCGGTCAAATTCGAATCTTGGCTCATCGACAAAATTGAAGTCTCATTTTCGGACAAAAATCATTCAGAAAAATCCGCTAATAATGAAACGTCTATAATCTATTATATAAATTGAAATTGTATTTTTAATGAAATTTTGGAGTTGATTATGACAAAGTGATAAAAGTGTCTTGCCTTTATATTAACTTACAATTTTATTCGCTCAGATTTACGCGCCGAAGGAAATGAATTCTGAAAAATTCTGGGAAAATTTATAAAAAACGTACATATATCGAAAGATTTGATAATTTGAAATTGTGGAGGGAAAGCTTATTTAATGATTTGAAAAAATTATTTTTCTCAATTATTTCATCCCCTTGAGATATTTTATTTCAGAATTTCGATTTCAATCGAATCTTTATTTCTGGAGATTCCAAGATCGATTACAAATTAAAAAAAAAAAAATTAATAACTAAATATTCATATACAAATGTCTATCAAAATCTCAACATTTCTGCTAAAAAAAACTTTGCTTCTCCAGCAGTAAATTTTCCTGAAGAGGCTTCTGACAAGAGCCTCATTAGAATGCACAGAAGCCGAGGGTTCAACGACCCGATTTCCTGAATCGTTAATCGACCGACGGCTGTTTCGCGCTATAAAAAAGAGGGAGAAGGAAGAGGCCCGCTTTGATTTGCATCGTAAATAGCGGCAGGTAAACAGTCCCGTGGAAAAGGGCCTCAAAAATTGCGCTGGGTGGCGTACAGCGTCGTGCAAAAAAAAGGAGGGTAAAAATACACGGATTTTTTTTTTATACCGGGCGCGTCAAGCGTGAGGTAGGACGGAGGTGTGTATGTGGGTCGAGGGTGGGCGGCGGAAGGGTGGAAAGGGTGCTGAAAAAGAGAGGCAATAGGACGCATAAAAACACCGACTACAAAATGCAAAGTCAGCGGCCGCTCTACGTTCGCGAGTGTGCGCATGAAGCGCGGGCGCGCGCATTGTGCGTTTCTTCTCTTCCCTTTCTTCCAAGTTCGCGTGCTAAAGCTTTATATTACCAAAGTAGCGCACTCCTTTTATCTGTGCCCAAATGCCGACAATCTTCCTATTGGCTATTTCGACCGCCATTTTGATTTAGTCATCTATAGTCCAATAAGTGCTTAATATTATTGATACAGGGTAGGGTAACTCCAATATATACGCCACATCTATCAAAAACTTAATTTATTAAGTTCCATAAATAATAAAGGTTCCAATAATTAAAAAATTAAAACAATACAATATAAGGCTAAGAACCAATTCAGGATAACATATGAGTCATATGTATCACAATATTATTATAAGCAATATAAAAACGTACAGACGTTTCGACTCCTATCGGGTCCTTCTCAATGTTAAAAAATAAATTTAAATATTACCGGTAACTACGCAAGATGTTCAATAACTTTTCTAAGTGCATGTGTACTCGCATGTTGGAAATAATTATGGCATATAACGGCTTAGATTCCATCGGCTTCCCATCCGAACTGTAGTTCTTTTATTCCAGAAGTCACATAATCATATGACGTCTATAATGCCGTATGCTTCCTCTCAAATTTACAATCGATTGGCCCAGTAAAATTTAAAGTAATAACATTGCATAACTCCTTCATATTCTAATTTCAACTGCTGATCATTCGAAGTCAAAAATAATTAAAAAAATATAAATTGAGTACAAAAAGTAATAATTTCGATAGTGTTAAGACCCATTTGATATCTCTGTGTTGTATTATGTGACTTCTGGAATAGGAGAACTACAGTTCGGTTGGAAGCCGATGGAATCTAGGCTGTTAATGCCATAATTATTATTTCCAACATGCGAGGACACATGCACTTTTTTGATATAATATATTGAACATCTTGCGTATCGATAACATTTAAATTGATTTTTTAACATTGAAAAGGACCCGATAGGGGTCGAAACGTCTGTACGTTTTTATATTGCTTACAATAATATTGTTACTCATATGTTATCCTGAGTTGGTTCTTAGCCGTATTGTTTTAATTAATTTATTAAGTATTAATTACTATGTTTAAAGTAAACGAACTATATCAGTAAAAACTTTATACTGTACTATTATGAAAAAAATATTAGAAATCTGAAATATTTATATTTCGTATTAAAAAATGAACTTTTTTAAACCCTTGCATTTTTGCCGTATATTCCATAGGGGTGGGATATATAGCTACTCATAGGGGGAGGGGTGTGTACGGCTCATGAAAAATTTACAAATAATGCATATAAATAAAACGTAAAATAACACAATAACTTATAAAATGCGTTTATAAAGTTTTGTTAAGGAATAAGAATGATAAATATGTATATGAAGTAATAAATAATAATTAGAATCTTCCCACATGTATTACAAGTGTTATGACATGAGGTACATATTTCATGTAATGCGTTTATTACATTTAGTGCATTGAATTCAATCTGCACACTTTGTATGCTTTGGGCATAAATCCCTCCCGCTAAAAATTCCGTATATCCCAAACAGGTGGGATATACAAGCCAACAAACTAAACAAAGAGTACAAGAGCAAAGTACTTGTATTTTGTTATACAACATGCTTTACTATTCCTCTACACTCATGTATCACGAAATAACCACTAAGTCTTTTTGCACGTCCTGCGGTAATCATTTTATGTAAATTATAATTTATGATGGCGCTACTTAACACAGTGACAAATCGACTCAACTCACAATAATTTCATTAATATTAACAGTAAGAAACTGAAATCATAACACAACAGTAATATAACATAAAGGCATGTAACAGAGTAGTTGCGGGAAAATTACCCCCACTGCTTCTACTTTTTCTGACAGAAGTCTGCGGCGTAAATCCCAGCGCGGCGTATTTGCCGGAATTACCCTATAATTAGTAGGTCGAAAATGGAGGACCTATGCGGTACTTTGGTATATAGAACTTTAGCGCGTGCATCAGCGTGCACGGCACTTGCACGCGCCCGCCTCCCTCGTTCTTCGCCTCGTGCTGCTCTACTTGCGCGTACGGTGCACGACGGACGCGGAAAAGGCGCGCATTAAGCTCTCACGGTGGTTTGCAGTTTGCAGTAGCTTGGCGACGTCGTGTAATGCGCGCCAGTGTCTGCGTTTATGGACGACGTTGCACGCGAAACGCGGATCGATGGAACGTGAAGGTATATATTGTCTCTTTTTTCCGCGAGATACGCGCGCGGCAAAAAGTTCAGCGTCATCTTCCCTCTTCCGAGGGATGAGTATGGCTTTTCGTACGACGCGAGCCAAAATAGGGAGCATCCGAAGCTCCGGGAGCAACGTTCTCCACTTCTTTGTGAGTAAATACTTCCTTCGTTACATCGAGCCGGAAAAACGTTTCGCGCGAATAAGATCAGACATCGGCACGCAATGAAGATAACGACAATGAGCGAGAAGATATGGCGGCGCACGAGAAGAGGCATATGAAAAAATGAAACTATCAAAGAGACGTGAAATGCTCATGGAGACAGACAGAGAGAAAGAGAGAGAGAGAGAGAAAGAGAGAGAAATATCAAAAGAGACAGACAACGAAAAGGGTGATGGAAGGAAAGCAGAGAATAGAAATAGAATGTATTGCGAAAAATGAAGAGATCGAAAATGATGAATTGTGTGTGAGAGTGTGGATGATGTATGTAATGTGTATATGTATGTATCACCACAAAGTAACGAATATAAAAAAAATTTGAAATTCGTCTCTTTTTATTTTACCTTTACCCGCATTCATCCACATTTCAATTAACATACAGAATGTTTTTAAAAAAAAATATGTAAAATGCATTCTCTTCGTATGGATTTGAAAAAGAGTCAGAGAGCTCTTTGATGCGCAGATACACGAAGATTTATTATGATCATGAATCCGCGAGCCAATACGGAAACTTTCGAGAGACATTCTGTACAATTATGGTGACACATTGATGTGACGGCGATCCGAATGAATGTTTCAGAGCGGTAGAAAGAGAGATAAAGGCGGTAATAGAGAGTCTAGAGAAAAAGGCGGTGGCGAATTACCTTGAAGGACTGCACAGAGAAACCGGAAACCAGGGTCGGTCCATAACATAAGAAGCGAACAGAAAACAGAAAAAGGTAAACTTGTAATTAGGTCGTTCGCTGTAAGAGACACTGTAAGCATGTCATTTCCTGCCGAGAGGGTGGGCTGGTTGTGAAAGAGCTGGAGCGCGGGGGCGAGGGTGAATAGAGTCTTATCGTGTCTTTCTGGTTGATCGATGGATCCAACGTGTGCTACCGGGTGCTGGAAGAACTCATGTTACAGGATGACACGAATGTCGCATAATGCATTAAATCTACTCGAAAAAATACGTGATCCACGCTCTAGCGATCCAACATTCAATCGCATTACGAGCGACCAATGTTAATGTTTTTCATGAAATTATGTAACCTTTCATAATCATCCTGTAAATTAGAAGGAAATGTAAGTCGTTCTATATACAAAAGTATCAGGCTTTATAATCGAGAGAAATTTTCGCGGCGAAGCGCGTTGATTTAATTCCTGATGGAACGCTCAAAATAAAATTCAGCAGGAAAATTTCGAGATGGATGAAATTCAAATTTGTCAAATTGGTTAATTACTTGAATTGCGATGTAACGTGATTATTACTGATAATCAAAGATTCGTTGCTTTGAACAGATGAATTCTATTGTTAGCACTGCGGCGAGTGATGCGCCGATGTTAACTTATTATTAAACGGACTAGTAGCCAATTAACTCGCAACGCGTTTCCCACGTATGTGATGCGCAAATATTTACCACACAATTTCTCTCAGTTACACAGCCGCAAGTACCGGCGTAATTTCGGATAAACGCGCGCGACTAGGTCGTCAGACATTGTCGTTACCGTATTACTCGGTAATGATTACGTCATACGATTCAGCCGAAACACGAACACGATAAACTCGTCACTAATTAGCGATTGTCGGGGGTTAATTACGCCGATACGATACACCGTCGCATATTTCCACAGCTTGCGCGAGAGATTCCTGCAATTCAGTTGCTGGCTCGACAAAAACGCAAAAAAAATAACTGCACAATACAGGAATTTTAAGTCCCGTAATTGTATCGATTAAATTGATTTCGGCATCGTAAAAAAAAAACGGATGCAATCGCGTAATCTGTGGAGTGCGAAATATGAGTATAAGGAGAGCAGTATCGATGGTAGTATACTGTAAGGTGCGATCTCTGCAGATGTTTGAGTACCAATCGCAAGACGTATCTTCAGATGTTTTACGACTCTCATAAAATCATATCGCAAGTTGCGCAGTCTGCTGCAGTGATAATAAAATACAGACGAGGTTTATATATTGAATATGAGTAGGCAAATGACGGTCTTGTTTCACTGCCGAAGGAATAAGTATCGTGTACGCGATTGCCTGAACTTCAAGTAATTCCGAAAGATTCCTACTTCTATAAAATCGGTATTCATAGTCGATTCGTATTTACGCGAAAAGAAAAAGATTTTGTTGAAGTATCCAAAAATTTAACTAATACAGATCTGAAAATAAATTTTATTAGACTATCAAGATAATTATGTACGATATTTAAACTGATTACTAGAATGTCAATATTTTTCACAGTATCGTTCATCATGTTTGAGTTTCCTACATAATTATTTTAACAAAATTAGTTCAACAAAATTATTTTATACATCTGTATTTACTTAAATTTTTAGATACTGTAACAAAATTGTTCTTTTAGTGTAAAATTGTTTTAAATACAATCTTGAAATATCAAAAATCAATAACAGAAGCTTAAAATATTACTTAAGACGCTCTTGAAATAAAAATTGACCATAAATACCGTCCTAAATTTTATTTAACTTAAGTAAGTAGATGATATGTTCAGAACACCTAAAAAAATTTTATTTTCTAATTATATTTCTCAATAATCTATATAAAGTTAAATTGATATTGTTTGTATCCTTATTAATTAGAGGAATATAAAAATAAATTTTAAGATTTCCGAGCAATATTTCTTATTTTTCTTTTACAGAAAAAGATTTTTGAAATAATTACATGTAGGATACTAAATCTATTAAGAGGTTAAAAGCTTTTTCCTAATTAAATATTATGATTAATGCAGTCGGTGGATACGAAACGTTTAAAACGATTTGCGTTCAGGAACAGGTCGACCCTGGCTGACGTCGACGGCGCGGAATTACACGTCGATTTCTAATTTCTGCCGAAGACAGAATTCGCACCGGCCGTCATATCGGCACGCGAAATTCCGCTCGAGTGAGCGGCTGTCTATTTTGGTCGCGACGAACCGATAATTAATTACGACACGAGGACCCGGAAAACGCGAAAATGTCAACTCGGTCGGCCGGCTGCGCCGCGATTGTCATAGCCGCGCGTAGACACGTTCTCGGGCTGCGCGCATCTCGCGTGTCAGATGCACCTGTACGCTGCATATAATATGCACACACAGGATATGTCCTGGTTTAACTTTTCAAGGGAATTACGCGTGAAACGCGCCACGGCGACGTGGTGTTATCCCATTTGAAATGCGAGAAGGTTCTCGGAGATGCGTTGCTACTCAGTAATTCCTCTGCACAGTGTTTAAATCCACTGGAGGCTGGTAATGCAGGAGTGAGTAAAGGTTTCCAGAATTTAAGTGTTAAAACATTCAAGATGTACATGTATGTCGGATCTTTTATTGTTCTTCGATAAAAAAATTAAGCCGATCCTTTGATAAGATTTTGATCACTTGTAATTCGTAATTTTTGGTAGAATATTTTTTGTCGAATAAAAATTTTCACGTGAAAATCCAAAATAGCTTGCCCCGGGTTCACTACGTACTACAAAATTAATTTTACTATTTCTATCAACGTAGTTTAATTTTAATCTCGATTCAACTAATTCTTTTTTTTCCAGTTATAGGAATTAGAAAAAGATGAAAAATACGTTAAACTGAGATAAACTAATCTACATTGGTAGAAACGAGCATAAGTAAAATAACACAGGTGTTCTACGAATAAATTAGTGTAACTCTTTTATTGTGTGCTGATGAAGACTCAAACTAGAGCCGAAACATTCAGATTTGTTAAAATATATTCTAAAGAAAATACGCATCAATTTCTGCATTGACTTTTAGTGCTTTAGTTTTTAATATTAAAATTTTTGACGCTTCCTGCAGGCATTTTCGCGCGTTTCATTTTCATTTTCATTCGGTTCGTTATTTTTTATGCTAATGAGCAGTCAATTAGCGGACAATTCACGAATGTCGATTTTCACTTCTCATATCGATCGCCTACCATCGTTTGGCTTTAATTTCCTCTCTTGTTGTGAAATGACACGGGACATAGGCACGTGCGCGATACATTTGACCGATGTAATTCGATTTCGAGCGTGGTTGGGTTAAACAATAATACGTTAAAGGATCGCTTGTTGTATCAAACGCCCGACGATTTTTACGTTATTTTTTTTGTTTCTCATCGGAGACGGTTACGTCGAAAAGTATGTAGAATCGATGGCTCTTGTTGACCGCGTCAAAATACCATTCTAAAATTTCGAACAAATATTTTGCCATTTTTTTTCCAAAAGGGGGCGAAAAAAAACGTAAAACATTCTCCACTGCACGTGAAATCAATATTTTCTTCGTTTTCGCGATGTAACATGATTTTTGTTCACTTTGTGTCAACAGATTTTTTGTTACATGTACGTGTAGTAACGGGTTATCTAAAAAGTTTGCGTAACACGATAAAACCTTTACCGCGTCGATTATTCAATTTTTTTTTGCACTACGTCGTCGGCATTAGTCGGAACGGAATCACAAATTCAGGACGCAATCTCGAATGTATGTGTGAGAGGAACAGTGGCGCCGGCAAACAAACGCTTAAAAAAATACGCGGTACTTAATGCGACGGCACGTGCATTTTAATCCGCGATATGACCGAATCAAGTAATAACCGCGCGACGAGAATCGTTTATGCTCACACCTGACTGTCATCAAACCCGATCAATTTTCCATTACTTTCCCTCTCGTCGATAACGTTTTGCGGTCCCATTTCGACGATCGTCGCTTCATTCGCGAAAATCTCTCGTGCCGTGCGCTGAGATGTATTGCCTGGATTTTTTATTACTCTCACGCTCACACACGGGATGCATTTTATGGGCGCATTAATTCCTTTTTATCGCCATTGACGAAATATGCGATCCATTACGTGCTTGCTCATTGATGCCTGCATTTATTAGTCTTAATTCCACGGCACCATATTTTACTCGCGGAAAAAGAATAAATGTTCGCAATTTTATTACAGATATAATTATCTTCCTTTCTCGCGGAGATTAGAAAAAGTCATTTCGCGAGACTTGCAAAAACCGCGCATAAAGAAACTTTGAATAATTTCGCGTGCGTTTTACAATCTCGAAAAGTGGATGCAGCAAATAAAACTAGTTCCCGTTTTATCGTATCATTATTTTAATATCTCATGTTCAATGTGTTATATCGTTTATTTGCCACCTTTATTACCGCGCGCGAAGCACAAACAATCGCAATTTTCTTTTGTAGAAAATTATATATACACGCCTCTCGCGCGGAGATTAGGGAAATAATCCCGCGATTCAAAAGAGCCGGTTCCGCCGTGCGGAATAATTTCACGTTATCACGCGTGCGTTACTCGATCTCAGATGGAGGATACGAAATTGCGACGGAGGATTATCGGGCGAGTACACGTCTGTTCAGCGAATTTTCCGCGCGATCGTGCTGAGACTGCGAGTCCCGGTGAATTTATACGCGGTGAGTGACCCGAAGCGGCTGCGCGAGATCCCGAGGTACGTTCGTGTCTTCCTGTCGATTCTTTATTATTCGCAGGACCAGAGAAATTGCGACTTTCTTGGCGAATTTCGCGGCCGGGAAATCCGACAGCTGCGCGACCCACTTTCGCAGCAATGACAATTTGACGAGCTGGCGGGGCGTCACCGGAATGAAACACTTAACGGAATGCAATTTATGCAATGCCCGGTATAACGAATCGATAACGCCATTGGCTAGAGTATCACGACATA